TTTGGTTTCTTTTTGAATTCTCAAATTTTTTTGTTTCATTCTTTGCTTTGCGTTCTTATTAGGAAAAATATGCTTAATCAGAACGGAGCTAATCAAACTACTGCTGATTACTCCTTTGTCTTTGAAGGATCCAGAAATTTCGGATCACGCGATGGAACAATTGAGCGACGAATTGTCTTGGCAATGCTCGATAGAGATAATGGATCATCAAAGTCATCGGACAGCATCGTACATACAGCATTGGAAACGTGTCCAGCCGGAGCAATCGAATGGGAGACACCGCGATAGTTGACAACTGTGCTTGCGCGTAGAATGCGGCGCGGATCATCATTTAGATAACAATGAGTGTTTAGCATAAGAATGATGTAGGCAGAAAGTGAATCTTGAATGGTTACATTTGAACAAGCTGTATAGTCTAAGAAAGCATCGTATGAATAAGGTGAAGAGAAATAGTGAAAACGTGACAAAAGAAAAAGTTTGTTTCAGGATCGCCGGTGCGCACATAAAATGAATAAGTCATGGTTGAATGAGCAAAAGTAAGACATTATAATACTAAGGCATTATTCTATAGCCATAGAACGAATTATGTATTATCTTATTGATCTTGAATTGTTTTCTTATGCAATGTTTGTGAAAGGAAGGTCGGAGTACAGAAATTGTACAATGCGAACATCTCTTCTTTTGATGACTTTTTCTCTATGATAGAGCAACTTTCTTCTTCGAGCCACGACGCGAGTCGCTAAAATGACTCACCTAGAGATAAGCCGGCGTTCTCAAACGATTAACCCATAGACAGACAAAAAAAACAAATATATGAAATGAACAAAAGTGAGAGTTTAGTTGTTCTTTCTCCTTTCGTCCAAATGAAACACTACTATATATAAATAACGCTACAGAAAAGAAAACGGACTTTAGTCATTCATCTCATTTCTACAGTTAACCGACCGGTCAAGCTAGTTCCAGACCGCTCAATGCTTTCGCTATTGGGAAGGACACGAAGAAGATTATTGCTTATGCGGCTGGTGTGAACTATTTTCGGACATTTCAGCTGACTTTTGCAATAGATAATAATTATGAGAATAATATGGAAATGCTTCGTTTAACGATACATACAAGCGTGGGTGAACCTACGCTTATATGGATGAACTTCCGGAAGAACTTTCGTATAAAACACAAATGCTTTAGTATTGGACTACACTCTCAGAAGCATAAAGAATAAGCTTACTAGATAAGAAGGAAAAACTCGGATCAAAGTCGTTGGCGTTGATTGATTAT